AAGGTCGCAGTTGGGGATCATGATCGTGATCGTGAACCTATAACCACAACGACAGAGATGTTTGCAGCTGAGGAAAGGCATGTGCGGTAAGTAAAACTGAATTAGCAAAAGAAAAAAATCTATCAAATGTGAAAGGAAATTTCTTGAAGAGTGACACCAATGGAAGAGGAGAGAGGTGGTTACTATGGTAGAGAAAGAGGAAGAGAAGCTGAGGCTGGTTACTATGGAACAAGAGAAAGAGCAAGATCATCGGAAGCAGAAGGATTTTACGGTACTAGAGAAAGAGCTAGGTCATCTGATGCAGAATCTGGATTCTACGGATCAAGAGAAAGAGCTCGTATCACTGAGGAGGAAGAATCGTGAGTTCTCAGTTCAAACAAGATTATGATTTTCTCACGTTAGACGTAGTTATAGATTTGTTGTTTAATATAGTGTTCTTGCGTTGCTTACACCATTTGCACGTAAAATGAGGCGCGAAAAGCGAATGCTCTACACCGCCATTTCTTACGCGCAGTTGTTGTCAGCACCGCAGGGCTACTATATTTACTAGTAGGTTTATTAGATTTTTTGTTGCACTATTCGTTAACAATGCACATAACCTTGCACGAAAAAAGCTAGAATATTAACATCATAGAAGAGCTGCACAACTTCGCGAAAGTTCCGCTGCTCCCGACAGATCCAGCTATAGAAATTACGCCTATCAACGAGATGTTGGAGGTGTCGCACCCGTCGAAGGCTTCGACGAAGTAGAGACCAGGTTCTATCATTTATATAACATATTAGCTTTATTCTTAACAAAATACCTAGCGTAGTTAGAGGCATTTATATTAGGGTGATTTCTGCTATACTCATGGTTTCATGTTTCAAGATACTTAGAGGCTTTGCAAAACACAACCTAAGATATTAATGGGAAAGAAATCCACAACTGAACACAGAGAAAAAATTTGGGGAATCACAAATGTGAGATTGTTTACAAAGTAAAATCGCTGATTATTTTGTG